AACTAAACTTTAGACCAGCTGGGTGTTCACGTAAAAAGACAATTTCATATCGTTTCTCTAAAGAAAGTTCCATTTTTTAAGTGAAAGTTTGATGATCATCTAAATTTTTTTTTTTTGTATCATCGACACTTATAAATTTACAGGTGATTATGTATTGTATTATATTATATTTCTGGAAAATTTAAGGGGTAGTTATATAATAATTTTGGACGATCTTAGGCGGTCAGATACTTATGACCGCTACTGTAGAAATGATCTAAAACTGACAAACTAATAAAATCTCTTTGACTTCCTACTAGTTCTATATTAGTTCTATAACAGTTCTAAAGCAATTACTAGGTTACTACTATAGTATTAAGTTGGAATTCTTTAAATCATAGCCTAAAAGATCAGCCAGAATTATAATATAGTGCTGATCAAAATTAAATGCAAAATTAACTAAATCACCTAACACGTTATTTTTATATTTGACAGGTAACAAAATACATAATAATAAGTAATATTCTTTAGTAATATTAATAGCTAAAACTAATTAACTCTCTCAATTAAGATTTAAATAATAATGCAATATTAAGCATTTATGAAGCTAAAGAGATTAACATAAAAATCACATAGCAAAAATATAACTCATTACAAAACAAAATTCAAAATCAACTAGAATTTATAATAAATAATAATAAACATAGAGAATATTATAAATTTTATATATTGATAATAAAACAAAATATAATTAGAACCTTAAAATTAATAATTACTCAAAATTAATAAAAAAGGCTAAAAATGATAGCATAAAAAAATATATAACAAAAAAATAAACAAAAATAATGAAGTCAATATAAGATAGAGACTAAATAAAAATCAAAAAAAAAAAATAGAAATAAGAATAACATAATAATAAGAAATAAATAGTTATAATTTTAACACTAAAGTAGGCTATTCAAATGATATAAAATAATAAAATTGAAGTTGTAGTAGAATAATCATAAGTAGGTAGTAATTTAACAGTAAGTAGGTAATATTATAATACAAGCAAATAGCAGTTTTATAATACTGCTTAATTTTCTTCATCTAATTTATTAATTTTAGGTAAATAATATTATTAATTAATAAATATTTGAAGTAAAAATAACTGCTTGTAATTCATAATTTATTTATTACTTTTCATAAATAATTATTCAATTTTTATTTATTGAATTTTTCTAATAAATAATAATTGATATTAAATTATTGATTCAAATAAACTTAAATTCAAAATTTATTCTATTTACTTACTTTTTATATTTAATTATTATTATGAATTCATTATTACTTAAATAACATTTTCTGTTTTTCTTTATTTTTTAAATTGCTTAATATTATTTATAAAGAATTTAGCTAATTTGTCAATTAATTAATAAAAGACTGATAATTTAGAGTTAAAGCTTTTGTTATTCTAAAATTAGATTATTATATTTTTTATATTTTTTCTTGCTATTAAAACATTTGTCTTAATTTAAATTATTCTTTAAATTAATATTTTTAAAACTATTTTTATTTTAATTTAAATATAAAAAACAGAAAAAAATTAGCTAATAATTTAAAATATTTAAATATAAATTTAAATATATTTTGAATTTTTTTGTATTAGCCTTCTCTATTATTAAAATATCATTATCTTAAAATTGACAATTCAATTTATCATTAATATAATAAATTAGTTTTTTTTTTCAATTTTGATGTTAACTTAATGATTTTTCTTCATTTTGTAAAAGGATTACTATCTAACTACTTTAATGATTTGAATAGCTATATTATTTCAAATTAATTAAATATTAAGTATTAAAAAGAAATATTAATTATTATAAATATTAGAATATTAGTATATAAATCTTATTTTTTCTGTAAATCACTTAGTAAGAAATTAGTTTTCTGCTTCTAATCATTTATTTTATTTAAAAAATCAAAACTTATTTATTTTATTTCTCAATTTTCTTATGAAATTTGATAAGATTTTTCTTTAGCTTTTAATTTTCTATATAAAAAAAAATAAAAAAAAATATTGTTAATTATCATAAAATAGGTGTTTTACAATAAAAAAAAAAAAACTACCAAAAAAATTTTTTTTTATTTTCTAAGTTAAATATTTTTTTTTTTTTTTGTAAAATAAATTTAGATTTAATATTAATTCAAAAAAATTTTTTTTGATAGTTCCTCCTTTTCTACTGCAAAGCGCCTAATAATATATTATCAGGATTATTAATAATTTCAATAAAAATTATAGCTGAAGTACTTATCATTAATTCTTATTTAAATTTTAATGAGAGCTGAATTTTTCTTATCATTTTTGAATTTAAATAATATTTATTTTTACATAATTTAAAAAGTTATTTAGTATTAATATAATAATAATATATTATAACAAATTTTAACTTACCTTCTTATTGTTTTTTAAAATATTTTTTATTAAATATATTTTTGTTTTTTATTATAAAAATAAAAGATAAATTTATTATTGAAAATTAGTTGGTTAATTGATAAAATTTAAACTTATATTTTGTCTCTTCTTTAGTTAATTTTGATTATTGAAAATATTTTTGTAATTTTATTTTTATTATAAAATTCAGTTTATCATTTGAAAAGTTAACTAGTTGATTAATAAAATTCAACTTTTTTTCAATTGATTTTAATGGTTAGAGATATTTTATGATTAATTTTATGGTTGAGATTCTATTATAGAAAAGTAAAAAAATCAGTTTATCATTTAAAAAATTAGCTGGTTGATTAATAAAATTTAACTTATATTTTTTTGTTTTTATGATAATTTTTTATTGATATTTTAGTAACATTTTAATAATTTGATTATAAAAAGTTTGAGTTTAAATTTGTTTTTTAAGAAATAAAAAATTAAACTTATTTATATAAATTTTTCTATAATATTTCAAATTTATTATATTAAAGGTTAATTATATTTTAAAAATAAGAATTTTATATTTTTATTATTATCATTTAATTTTAATATTAAATTTATAAGAAGATTAAATCAAAATTATAATAAAATGGTTTAAAAGATTAAAAAATATAATTAAAATAAGAAATAAGTCAGATTTATATTTAAACTCAATTTTAAAATATAAATACTACAATCTTACAAATTTTAAGACTATTAATATAATATTAATTAAAAAGATTTTAATGTTATTAATTTAAATGCAGATAAATATTTAAATAATTACAAATAAAATGTATATAAAACAAAAAAAAGTAAATACAAAATGAAAAATTTAATAAATTAATAATTTAGTAAAATTAGAATTATATGTTTATCTTGCAATAAATATTAAGATTTAATTTTAAAAAATTCTTATTGATTTTATATAGATTTTACTTTTTATTTTTAATATTTATATCAATATAATTTAAATATATATAAATTTTTTTATAAAGTTTTATCGATTAATTTTGGATGTATTGTTCAATTCTTTGATTCCTCAACCCTACGTTATTTTTCAACTTTTAAAAGACCAGAAATTAAATATATGAAATTACACCTAAAGTTAATTTGAAAGAACTATATATAAACTAAGAGATTTTTATATAAACAAGGATTAGGATTGTGAAATTTCAGGAAAATTACATAACTGTGTTAAATTACTTGTAATTAAAAAATTCTTAGTTACTTTTGGGTCGAATAAATTTATAATGAACGTTAAAATTTTAAATAATCTAATATAAAATACATATCACGTGACCAAATTTTTATTGGTAGAAATTCATTCTAACGGATTGAATGTTCCTAATAGTTCATCTAATTCCATATTTGCATTATTACCTTGTATGCTTATACCCATTATATCGGGATTCAGTGAAAACATATCTAAATTCATATCAATGTCCGATTGCCCGAATAACATTCTTGTATACTCCCCCACAGTCAGGGTATTTCCGTTACCAGCTTCGCCCGTCGTATTAATATTTAACAAAACATTCTCTGCTGTAGCATCGACTAACGATGATAATGATCCTTCAGTTCCTTGAATAGGAAAATTACTAAATAACATTTCTAAATCATTCTCGACTGAATTTGAAGTGGTGTCCGTGGACGGTTGTAATTTATTTTTATTGGTTGGATCATCTCTCAATGTAACTCCCAAAGTTTTCAAGGTAATAGAATTATTCTGATTGATGACTGAATTTCCAGGAAAATTCGAAGCATCTTTATTTGGTGGGTTGAAAGGCTCCTCTTTATTTAATCGAATCAATGGTTGAGTAGATTTTATATGCGATGATGATCCGACAATACGTTCTTTTTCTATCAGCAAATCAGATTTTATAATATAAGGTGAAATATCTGCTATATCGAACGGAAAAAGACACTAAATAAGGGAGGGAGGATAATTTAATAAAATATTTAAAAACGAGAAGAGATAAACTTTTGTTGGAACACGTACCTTTTTCTTTGGGCATATTAGCATCTTCTCGTTAAAATTGATGAAGTAGCATCTAAGTCGCGTTGAACAATAAGGACAAGGGCTTCCCTCAGCTTCAATTGACATCATAAATACTTTTGTGACTAATTAAAAATATGTATATATATATATTATATATCAACCTAAATTATATAAGTCAAGACCTTCATATTAGTCATTTAGAAACAATTGATTTTCTTTTTGTTAAATTAACAAAAAATAATTAATGTACCTTGAGATTAAATTGAACGATATATGATTTTCTAATTGTATTTTATATAAATATATAAATATATATATATATATTTTTTTAAAGAAAGGAAAAAAAAAGTATAAAGCGATTAGTATGTGAAATTACGAAATAAAATGATACATCATGACAAATTCGTGGTGTAAGAACTTGACGCAAAACAAAGGGTTGCCTTATTCTGCAATCATGATCAGATTTGCCACAACATATTTCAAAAAAATAAAAAAAAATACTCCCCAAATAAATCCTGTAACAGGTTTAATGCTACACTCAATAAAGAAAGAAAAAGTTTTTTTTTTTATCTCTTTTTCTTTCTTTAAAAACTTACCGCAACTTACCTATGATGTGAATTTTTTTTTTTGTGAAAAAAAAATTTTTTTTTTTTGATCAGAATTAATAAAAGAGGATCAAAAAAAATATCGTGCTTAAAATAAACAACTCGTAGAAATTGCTCTACCTGTTCCAAAGGAACTATTGAAAGTTTCAAGGAACTATGTGAATGAATAATTTGTATAATTTGTTTTTTTTTTGGTAAACCGAATATTTAAATTACACGTTTTTTTTTTTTTCTTTTAGCTTTTTATGCTTTTATTTTATATCTTTATTTTTTTTTTTCTTAAACAAATAACGTTTATAAAATTGATCTTTAAGGCAAAAGGTTCAAAGGTTTTATTACAAGTTCGAAAAAGAAATTTTTTTTAAAAAAAAAAATTTGTTCATCGCAAAGACTTTAGCCAATCTTTTGAACTCCCGTGATATGATTCCGCAGTATCAAACCAACTAGTTATTCGTGCCGATCAAAGTTAACCTTTAATACAGGTTTACTATCAAAACATTTAATGGGTAATGGAATTCTGCGGCAATCTAACAATTTCGACATGAAGAGTTGTTTTAGTAATCAATATATAACAAAAAAAAAAAAAAAAAAATCTTAATCAATTAATTATCCTCTGATGTTTTTTTTATTTATTTAAATCCTATATACATAACAAGCCTAGATTACAAGGGAAAATGATAAAATTGTACAAATCTTTTATAAAACATGATAATTTATCTTTCTAAAAAGAGAAAAATAAAAGAATCATTCATTAATTAAATCATAAATCGAATAATTACAAATCTTTTTTGAATAAATATTACACAAATCCTTTCGAGGTCAAAGTTCATAAAATTGAGTTGAATAAATTTCAAATTAATTTTCGAAATGATTTTCATCATCTTCAACATCATTCTTATCATATACGGTATTATGAAGAATGGTTAAATCGATTATATCTGGATCTTGTGATAGTTGATGAACCGATTGATTAAAGCTACGATCTTCCTGCCCTTCCAAAACAAACAACGTTGAATCCTTATTGGAACGACGTAATCCTTCGTTCATGAGATACAATATACAATTATATATGCCACCCAAATGAAATGCTAAAATTGATGTGAAATTTTGAAAAGGAATCAGATAAATTGCTCGCTCTAACGTGATCAAATTTAACGCAAACATACCTATTATAGCAGAGATATGCATCCATAAAGCTTCATTATAACCAGACATAATGCATATACCATACATCATCAAAGGAATCCATTTTATATAGATTGAAATATAAATCAAGATTTTTAACGTAGCCTGTCTTTCCAATTTGTTCCGTCTATTAACTCTGTCGATTGAAGTCGATATTTCTTCTCGATCTACATTAAATATCATTGATAACGTTGTAATATAACTGTAACATGTTGTAATAAAAGTTATGGTGAATGTAACAAAAACACCAATTAGCAATGTATTTAATGAATTAGTAGTGGTTGCCGACGTTAGGCACCAGAATTTTGCTGGACCGAGAGAAGGGATTGAGAGAATTGAAAATGATAACGATAATGCTAAAATACACGTAATGAATTTCCTATAGAAAAGAAATTGTAAAAAATAAATGTGTGTTAATTTTCGCATGCATTGTACGTCATCAAGATTGGGTAAATTCTTACCAATCAAATTTGCCCAATTCAAGTGACATGCTCCTACAAACACTCTAATACCATACCGCAAAAAAAAAAGTTGACGTTAATTTTTTTTTTTAAAAAAGAACAAAGATTTCATGTTTTCTTACCAAATAAGTGACAAATGCAATACCAGCCATTAAAATCATATTGAGATTTATTTGAAAAAAGAACAGATAGGCTAGTACTTTACAAGATGTTTCAGGAATAGCTTTTCGGAAAATCAATGAATAAAAAAAGTTTGGCATGAAAACCAAATCTAAAGAAAAAAAAAAGGTAATCAATTAAAAGGTTTCCTGTTTACGAAAATTGGTTATTTTGATTTCACAATTAATAATTACATTGAAATACGTCTGAAATGCTAAGATAAAGAGGAACGCGACTTGATATTGCTAGAGAACTTGTGCGCCATCTCGCATATGCCGAGTAAATCTAAACAAAAGAAAGGGCGTGTTACATTCATTATATTATTGTTACCTCCGGAGTTATCCTAGAAAAGTTGAAAGATTCCAAATATTGTAAAACTTTCGGAATCTCGTTTCCTTTACTGGACATACCCGGACACCTCTTTTCATATGGATGGTTTTTTGATAACATACCACAAGAGAACAGGCAATTAAATCTACGTGACCGAAAATTAAAGCAGTTATGTCAATAATTATATGAAAATTTTCAAGTTTATTAGCATTATCATATGATGTGGTGTCGTTAATCGTGGTTGACGCATTCACATTTGAAAAATTGTCCAATTCTTGCGACATTATAAAGGAAAGTCTTAATAAAAATAATATTACAGTATATTTAAAAATAAAATTCTCGCGATTGATGAAAAGCAATGTATTACAATGAATATGGTTGATAATTTTTGCATAATATGAAAAAGACAGAAAGCAGTGAGTCCAAGACGATTAAAAAAAGAAGGAATATTTTTTTTTTATTAAAAAAAAAAGATAAAGAAAGAAAAAAAAAATCAACAAAGAATCGGATTGAAAGAAAGATGCGTTATAAATCCTTTACTGTCTCTTATATTGCCTAAATGAGGCGAAAGGGATATTTAACAAAAAAAAGTTCATATCGGAGTATTTATGAATATTTCGATTGTTAAATTAACGGATTTTATTGGATTTGTGGTTTATTTTTGACAGGAAAAAAAATTACCACATATTAATCTTTGATTTTATTTGTTTCACTAAATTATATTTGTCTATTTATAAACTTTTTTTTTCTCTTGAGTCTAACCTAGTTAACTTAGATTTCAAAAGTATACCTCTTCGTTCTTTTATATTGATCAATGAGAACAAACGGAAAATTTCAATAAGCAAGCCCCTGAAAATCTCTCGATCAAGAAAAATAAAAGTAAAAAAGCGCGCCGAAGAAATACGAAATGTAGTTTTGCCTCAGAAGCTAACTATTTATGTATAAATTCTTTCAACGGACAATAAATGCATTGAAATTGCCACGTCTCGGAGATTCGGTCAAACGATTCTCACTTTGGTCATATCAAAGATTCATAATATGTATGTATCTCGCTGAACTTCAACAAAGGATGAGTTAGTTATACAAAGATCCTTTCCTTACAAGTTAAGATCAATTCTTCTAAAGGCAAATTAATGAAAACTGCATTGCGTTGTTTTTTCTCTTTTTCGAATGAACCCGCGTAAAGAAGTTCTTGCTTTGAATGATTCTTATAAACGGCAAATTCTACGAATCATGGTTTACTAAACCTAGTTTACGTTTAAATATTCCAGTTACCGATTTGGCGGAATAATTTGCATAGCATTTTCCTTTAACCTTTAATGTAATAGAAACGTTTCGGTTTTGTATCTGTTTAAAAAACAATTACCTCATAAAAATAACGAAAAAGTGTATACAAAATTTTTGCGCCCGCAGTTTTACGTTGCGTGTCATGTAAATTAGCTTTTGCATTTGACTTCGAATCTTGAATATACCCTTGTTTCAAAGCACAAGTAATTATAATAATAAAAAACAAATAAAAAAATGAAGCTGTGGATAATAAGGTTTTCGATCAATCTATAGAATAGCCTCCCTATACGTTACCCATAAATTACCAATTGTTTATGTATTACCATGGTTTCACACATTCTTCATAATGCAAAAGGTTTTTGTTAAAGGTATTATTTCATTTTGTGGTTCAATGCAAAATCATGCACTTTATAAATTAGTTAAAAATGAATCGAATTCCATAAGTGTGTCCTCATTTATTAAAAGAATTATATCCGTTATCTAATGATTTTTCTTATGATCTAGCCGCAGCAACGTAATAAATTTTGGCGAAGACTCCTTATTTGTTGGTTACCTACGTAATAAACTTGGATTTAGAGTCTAAAAAAGGTGCATTCGGACGTACTGCGCCTGGAAATACTTGTAATAAGAAACCTTAATCAAATTTAACAAAGTTTATCTCCGAAATTTACCCTGATTATATAATGATATAATCAAACAATAACGGCATAATATTGTTTGCATAATGTTGTTTAATATTGTTCAAATAAAATTTATGTCGCTTATTGGTGAGGAAATCCCAAATGTTTAATCATTGGCTAATACCCATTGGAGGTTAACTTTAAAAGAATTGCATTGATTCTGTGTCATCATTTAATTGCTTGCTTCTTGTTACTATTTTTAATTTGGATCAAAAATAATTTATAGACGACTTCGACTTATCTGAGAATAAACTTCAAAGGAAATTAAAAAGAAAATGGACCATTTTTCGAATGATTTTTATCAAAGAAAATTTAGATCCAAAAAGAAATTTTTAATCGAATAATACTTATGCGTATTTTTCAATCTCGTAGATTACTTTGGAATGGGTCAGTGACCTTTAAAGCTAGGTTCGGCATCAAATGTAGTACCGAATAAAGGTAAAACATTACCTATCTACCTGTTTTCCACTGATAGGCTTCCACTCATGCAAACAAATGCTTCTGCAGTAACCCCATCAAAAAATTTTCTATTCTGAGAATTTGTTCGAGTTAGATTGTCACAATAATGAGCGTGTTAAAGATTTCTTATGAATACTCGGATATTTGTCACAGATCGTTTGCTATAAACTTATAACTTTACAAATATTGTGATATCAAAACTTTTTCTGTATTGTTTGTTGTTCGATTGCCATTATCAAGTCCAATATTAACCTTTTGATACTATACTAAGATTAAGATTTAGACCTTCATTAAAGTATTAGCCTACCTAGTACCTAGTCAATCTATTTTATTTTAAATTAACAAACGCTTTTTATTAACAATAATATTTTCTAATTTAAACCGACAATTTGAATTTTTTTAATTAAATCAATATTTCATAGATATATTCTTGTCAAATATTTTAAAAATTATTTGCTTATATTATTAAATTAAAATATAGTAAAGTGTATAAATTATATGCTAATTTAATAATATTTTAATAAATTAAAATTATTACTACTTTAATAAATCTTACATTAATTAAAATAAATTTCATTGAATCATGCATGCATAATAAATTATTTTATTTTTTACTTATTTATCTAAAAAGGATAATTTGAAAAGTATTGTAAATTTTTGAATAATTTAATTAATTTAAGTTTAAAGCAAATTTGTTAAATTAAAAAAATTATAAATATGAATATTAAAAATATATTAAATATATTAATTAAAGGTAATATTAAAACTGATTTGAAAATCTATAATTTGTTGTATATTTTACAACAATATCTTAAGTTATATTAGTTATAAATTTTAATACAATTAATAAATTTTAATTATTTAAGATAAGTAAATAATTGAATCATTTTGATTTTAAGAATAATAAAACAGAGATATTAAAATATATTTAAAAAATTTTTAGTTATAAAAAATATTTATAATAAGTAACTCTTATTTTAAATTATTATAATAAATTTATGAATAATTTAAAAAATAAATAAACTTTAAGATTAATAATTTCATATAATATTAAATTTTGACTAATTTTTAAAATTAATTCTAAATATTAAAAATAAAGATTTTTGAATTCTAAAAAAAGTTTATTATTTTTTTTTAATAAATATTCTATATTATCATTAAAAAATTAATTATTATACTAGTACAGTTTATAATTAATTAATAATAATTAATCAATAGTTAATTAAAACCTTTAACTAGAGCTCTAAATCAGATTAGATCAACCTATTTATCTAATCTGATCTGATCTAAAAATTCAGGTCAAGTCAGTAGATTTTTAGGTTAATTTCAAGTAAGATTAACAGGTTAACCTGACCTAATCTAATAAATTTTAAGTCAACTAATCATTTATTTTGAATAATATTTTATCATTCTTGAATAATGATTTATCATTCAATTAAAATAATCGTTATTATTCTTAAATGATAGTTTTATAATTTTTTTATTATTCTTAAATAAGATTTTTATCATTTAAAAATGTTATTTTTATTATTCAAGAATGAGATTTTTATTGTTCAAAAATGATATGTTTATTATTTGAGAATGATGTTTTATCATTCAATTAGAATGATTTGTTATCATTTAAAAATAATGATTTTATCATCTAAAAATAATGATTTTATCATTCAAAAATAATATTTTACCATTCAATTAAAATGATTTATTATTATTCTTAAACAATAATTTATTATTTAAGAATAATATTTTATCATTTAAAAATAATGATTTTATAATTCAATTAGAATAATTCATTATTATTTTTCTTAAATAATAACTAATTATTCTTCTTGAATAATTCAATTAGATTAGGTCAAATAAAAATTTAAATCAAGTCAAATTTTGGTTTGACCTAATTTGATCCTCTTAATTCAGATAACTTGATTAACTTAACTTAAATTGATCTATTCAGAACTCTACTAATTAACTATTTAACTTATTAATTTAAATTAATTAATTTACTAATTATTTATTATTAATATATAATTATTATCTTTTTAATGATATTACAGATAAATATATCTACAATTTTATTTAATTATTTTAAATATTTCTAAAATAATTTATTTAAAAATAAATACTTTATAATAAATTTTATTATATTTCAAAGTAAAAATTAAAAAAAAATGTGATTTTTTAAAGATAAATATAATAAATTATTGTTAAAAAAAATTAAATTTTTAAATTTATATATAATTTTTTATTAATTTTAAAAATATAAAATATTATTTTTTAATAAGTTATAACAAGATGAATCTAATAAACTAAATTTTATTTTTATGATAATATATAATAAATCATTTTTAAGAATGAAAATCAAAAAATTAATATATATTAATAATTATTAATTTTAAAAATTTAAAAATAATATTATTAAATATATTTTAATATTTCTTAGATTATAAAAATTTGCAAATAAATTTACCTACTTATTTATTATAAATTCACTTCTGATTTACTTTTATGAAAAATTAAAAAGTTTTTTAATTAATTTTATAAATATATTATATTATAATAATTTATATTTTTTAATTATATAATAAATAATTTAAAGTTACTTATAAGTTAAAAAATTTATAATTGATCTAAAATGAAGTAAAGGACTCTAGTATACTGGTCATATATTATATTAAGTATTTTGATATTTACCTATTCAATAATTTAGTTGATACTAATTAGTTAGTAAAGTAATACAATTAGTTTGCAAACATATAAATTTTAAATTAAATTATTTAAAAAACTTCTTAATAATTAAACTTTTTTTTAATAAGTTAATAAAATATATATTAAATTATATTTTTCATATAATTACTATAATTTTT